GCTCCAGCATGGAGTCCATATCTCGCCACAAGCATAAGACTAAATTGGAGAAGATTCAGGGGTTTGCCACCAGACTAGTACCCGAACTGAGGAGTATGAGCTACGAGGAGAGACTACAGGAATTAAATCTCACGTCGCTGGATGAGAGAAGAGTTAGGGGGGACAAGATCACCACATACAAGATTCTCAAGGGAATTGATAGGGTAGATAAAGACAGTCTATTTAACACAAGGGGCACACGCACTAGGGGACACAGGTGGAAACTGAGTGCCCAAATGAACCACAGAGATATTAGAAAGAACTCTTTTAGTGTCAGAGTGGTTGACAAATGGAATGCATTAGGAAGTGATGATAAGAAATTCCAGGAGGTCTTCACCTCAGAGCAAGGAGAAGTCCCAGAGATAAGAGAGGGAACATCAAACCAGACACCACTAGAGGAGTTTGTGATTACCAGTGGGGAGGTGAGGAAGCATCTGCTAGATTTGGATGTGACAAAGGCTATAGGCCCGGATGGAATCTCACCATGGATTCTAAAGGAAGGAGCAGAAGCTCTGTGCCTGCCACTCTCCATGGTGTACAACAAATCACTGGTAACAGGTGAACTGCCAAAAATTTGGAAGACGGCCAATGTAGTCCCAATATACAAGAAGGGTGATAGGCAGGAGGCACTGAACTACAGGCCAGTGTCCCTAACTTGCATTCCATGCAAGATGATGGAGAAGATTGTGCGAAAAAAGCTAGTGGAACATCTGGAGCGGAAGAACTTTGTAACACAACATCAGCATGGGTTCAGAGATGGCAAATCATGCCTAACAGGTTTAATTGAGTTCTATGACCAGGCAACAAAAATCAGGCAAGAGAGAGAGAGGCTGGGCAGACTGCATATTTCTGGACTGCCAGAAAGCTTTTGACACAGTACCACATAAGAGACTAGTGCACAAACTGGAGATGCAGGCAGGAGTGAAAGGGAAGGTACTCCACTGGATAAGGGAGTACCTAAGCAACAGGACACAGCGAGTCACCGTGAGGGGTGAGGTCTCGGAGTGGCGGGGAGTCACCAGTGGAGTCCCACAGGGATCAGTCCTTGGACCTATACTGTTTCTGATATACGTAAATGATCTCCCAGAAGGAATTGACTCGTTCCTCTCGATGTTTGCTGATGATGCAAAAATTATGAGGAGGATCAAGACAGAGGAGGATAGTATGAGGCTACAAGATGACCTAGACAAACTGAAGGAATGGTCCGACAAATGGCTACTAAAGTTCAACCCAAGTAAATGTAAGGTAATGAAACTAGGAGGAGGAACTAGGAGGCCAGTCACTGGATACCGAATGGGAGATGAAGTCCTTCACGAAACGGACAGAGAGAAAGATCTAGGAGTTGATATCACGCCAAACCTGTCTCCTGAAGCCCACATCAAAAGAATAACATCAGCGGCCTATGCGAGGCTGGCTAACATCAGAACTGCTTTCAGAAACCTGTGTAAGGAATCCTTCAGAACCTTGTATACCACATATGTAAGGCCAATCCTGGAGTATGCAGCCCCAGCATGGAGCCCGTATCTAGTCAAGCACAAGACGAAGCTGGAAAAAGTTCAGAGGTATGCCACTAGGCTAGTCCCAGAACTAAGAGGCATGAGTTATGAGGACAGACTACGTGAACTGCACCTCACGTCGCTGGAAGACAGAAGAGCTAGGGGAGACATGATCACCACATACAAAATTCTCAGGGGAATTGACAGGGTAGACAAGGATGGATTATTTAACACGGGTGGTACACGCACAAGGGGACACAGGTGAAAGCTGAGTACCCAAATGAGCCACAGAGACATTAGAAAGAACTTTTTCAGTGTCAGAGTAGTTAACAAATGGAATGCACTAGGAAGTGATGTGGTGGAGGCTGACTCCATACACAGTTTCAAATGTAGATATGATAGAGCCCAGTAGGCTCAGGAATCTGTACACCAGTTGATTGACGGTTGAGAGGCGGGACCAAAGAGCCAGAGCTCAACCCCCGCAAGCACAACTAGGTGAGTACATCAAGGAACCCTCAAGCAGAAAGACGAGCGGATCGGACCTGCGCTTGTCCAGTTTTTGACTGTCGGAAAGCCATTGACACAGTCCCCATAAATTATTGTTGCATAAGCTGGAGCCCAGGCAAGTAACTGGTAGGGCGCTCCAGTGTAACCTGGAGTACCTGAGCAATGGAAGGTGTAGGGAGCAGGATACGGCTAGAATGGCAAGAAGTCACCATCAGTCCCAGAGGCTCTGAGAGGAAATCCTGACTTCATATACGTAATCTCAGAGAGAGAGAAAGACCTGGGGGTTGATATCACGCCAGACCTGTCCCCTGAGGAGCCCATATCAAGAGGATAACATCAGCGGCATATGCCAGGTTGGCCAACATAAGAACGGCATTTAGAAACTTGTGTAAGGAATCATTCAGAACATTTGTATACCACATATGTCAGACCAATCCTGGAGTATGCAGCTCCAGCATGGAGTCCATATCTAGTCAAGCATAAGACTAAACTGGAAAAGGTTCAAAGGTTTGCCACCAGACTATATACCCGAGCTGAGAGGTATGAGCTACGAGGAGAGACTACGGGAATTAAACCTCACTTCGCTGGAAGACAGAAGAGTTAGGGGGGACATGATCACCACATGTTACGAACCCGATTCCATCGTCGGAGCATGGAGCAGCGACGTCAATGCCATCTGTGAGTCCGCTCCCGAAACCCCCACAAAATGGACGACGCCATCTAGTGGTGGCAGGATGATACCAGCAAGAGGCGCTAGATTCCTGTCCTAGTCAGCTCGAGAGGTAGCTGGTGCTGACCTCTGGTGAGGTGGCGCCTAGAAAATCAGCGCCATCTATTGTAGGAGGAGTTGTATGTCTATGTCAGAGTCCGTAAGTGGTATTTCCTAGTGTCCCATGTACTGACCAGTGTACTGATGACGTGTCTGTATCCACAGAGGCGACGTAGGGCTGCTGTGGTACGAGGACAGTCAGTCTACCCAGGGCAGCCAATATCTCTCTACTCCATTCTGCTTTACGGAAGCAGTGAGCCGCCGCCGAAGAGGAACTGTGTAGTGTTCTACTGTCTGCCTGTGAAGTGGCAGTGACAGAATTCGGCGTATCCCGGGACTGGCTAGAGGAAGAGACGACTGACAGTAAGGTGCTACGGAGGAGTGTAACTAGCTAGTTGCAAGAAGCTCCTGCCAGGGGTTCGCTACCCTTGTATTTGTTCGTGTAGAGGCCCAGCAGCGCGAGGCTGATGTTCTCTGCCAGCACCAGGCTGGAGAGTGATTGTGGGCGTTCACAAGGAGCACCTAGTGAGACTGTGTATAGGCTGGCCCGTGGCTAGGGTAGACTCGTTGGTGTTTCCCAGTACTGGTTGAGGACGGTACTGTGTGTTGAGGAAACACGGAAGCTGACAAGACTGCATCGATTGAGCATCGAGGAGCGCTTAGTGTCCTATGAGAGTGACACTTGTGTATATATCAGTGTAGTAATACTTCCTTTATGATTTTATATGAGGTGATGGGAAAGTGATTATATGTGAATATATTGATAATTGATGAAGTGTCGTATTCAATGCAACTCCCCCATTGTGTTTTACTTGCATTACCAAGCTCACTCCTTGAAAGCCACTACTAACTTGGGGTTGGATACCAGAACTTTAGTTCCTCTAGAAAAGAACCCTGTTGCGACCCATTGTGAGGCAACATGTTTGTCAATTACCACAATTACCATTGTGGTAATTGACGGGTTGCATATTTAGCGTTTTTTTTTTTTGTCTAGTCTTATGAGATAGGATATATTTGGTGTCTCCTTGAAGTAGTCTTAAGTTAGGTATTATCTTGAGGCAACAATAGCTGGCCTCCCTCGTCCTCACGATCAAGTTTTAAGTTTATTATCAACGTGATTCTCATCATATTGTCTCCAGAGGTGTCAGCGTTCAACCCGTTCTCGCAAATTCGTAAAGTCAATATTGACTTATTAACTACGTGCATAGGTGATATACTAAACATAATAGATGCCCTTAAAAAGATTCATAGAAAACACCAACCTTACCTAACCTTGTTAGTATCTTAAGATAAGCATCTTATTGCTTCGTAATTACAATTATTACTTAACCTATACCTATTATAGGTTAGGTAATAATTGTAATTACGAAGCAATAAGATGCTTATCTTAACATACTAAGTAGGTTAGGTAAGGTCGGTGTTTTCTATGAATCTTTTTAAGGGTATCTATTATGTTAAGTATGTCACCTATGCACATATTTAATAAGTCAATATTGACTTATTAAATTTGCGAGAACGGGTTGCAGCGTTCAGACATTAACATGGGCGCCGGCTTCGGGTAGGAACTATGGTGTCACTGAAGCAGATGTTCCACAGGAGCAGTTCCGTTACAGTGGTGAAGGGTGCCCTCGTCTTCATGGTGTACTCCACAGGAGCACTCCAGTCACACTACACGTGTAAATAACTGACATCTGGCGTGACCAATTCATTACCTGCCCCGGAGGAAAACTAAAGTTTTTATGGTACAGAAGGAAACATTTTCCGGTTGAGATTTAAAGCTTGTTAACTCTCGTCTACGACCTAGAGAGAACCAGCAACTGTAAGAGCACCTTTGGCAGTGAGAGAGGACACACCTGCATATATGTGGGGTACATCCAAGAGAACAAATCCACAATTGTCGACTAAGTCGCGTCTGGTTGAGAGGCGGGACCAAAGAGCCAGAGCTCAACCCCCGCAAGCACAAATAGGTGAATACAAATAGGTTAGTACACCTGCCACACACACACACACACACACACACACACACCACGGCCATACACACACACACACACCATACACACACACACACACACACACTGCCATACACACACACACACACACACACACCACACACACACACACACACACACACACACACACACACACACACACACACACACACACCTGCCATACACACATGAGGTACAGACCTGGAGAGCTATTCCGCCTCTCGGAGCATCGTAGTCCAGTCTGCGGGCGCCCTGGTACCACACCACGGCGTGAGGACCCTTCATGTGGTGGTGGGCGACGGTACAGGTCACCGCCAGCACGCTGCCCTCCTGGATGTACCGTTCCTCAGCCCCCGAGATGTGTACCTGGGTACCTGCAAGTATTAGTTCACATGTACTTCAGTTATCCTTGTACCTGTAACATTACATCATATGTACATCACCAATTATACATTCTATAAGTCCTGATTTATTGTAGAGTAATTATCACGGAGCACGGAGTTTACCTTTAGTGATGAATGTGATTGATATATTTAATAATTTCTTGATTTTAAATAAATGGATTTGTTGTATGCAAATATTTATCAAACATACCTCATTAACTAAACGATATAATCAGGACAGAGTAAAAAATTTTACGCCCTAACCAAACATTCAGTTATATTGACAATCTCGGCTGGACTCCTTAAACGAAGGGTCAAACCAGAGGGGATAGGGCTTTGCGGAGTAAGATTACCTCAGGGATCACATACACTCATGACTCGCTGTGTACAACATAAGCACACTCACAAACACACACACGCACACTGACGCGCTCAAACATGTAAATGTGATTCTCATTTGTTCACGAGTGAGAATACAAAAGAGGACCTGTTAGCAAGGAAGAGAGGACTAGTAAATGTACTGAAGTTCAAAAAAATTATTCCTGTCGAGGGATAAGACAAGGTGAATGAGGGCAGCAGCCGCGAGGAAGGAGCGCAGGGAGAAAGAAAGGAATCAGGGAAACACAACCCCGAACCCTACAATCCCAGAGGTGAGTGGGGAACCCTCCACAAGCAGTTCAACACAGTGAGAGGAGCACCACCTGCACCTTCCACCCAATAGACGTCCTACCTGCCCCAACCCTTGCCATCACCCCACTAAGTGCCCATCTAGGGCACCATCCCCCCACCCCCCCTCTCCAGGACCTCCCATCTTCCCCCCCCAAGCCCTCCCTTCTTCCCCACCCCCCTAGCTCTTCCTTTCCCCCATCCACCCACCCAGGCCCTCTCTTCTCCCCCACCCCCAAGCCATCTCTTCTCCCCCACCCCCTAAGACCTCCCTTCTCCCCGACTCCACCTAAGCCCTCCCTTTTTCCTCTCCCCCTAAGCCCTCCCTTCCCCCACACCCCAACCCCTCCCTCCTCTTCTGCCTTCCCAAGCCCTATCTCGTCTCCCGCCCCATCAAGCTCTCCCTTCTCCCCCATCCGCCAAGCCTCCCCCTCTCACCCTCCCAAGCATCCCCCTCCCCCCCAAGCCCTTCCTCCTCCACCACCCTCCCCATGCCAGATCCTCCCAGCACCCTCACACCCCAGATCCCCTAGGCCCTCCCATCCCGGTCCCTCCCTGTTTTCCTGCTTCAGGGGAATCAACAGAAACTGAGGAAGGACAGAAGAAAGTCAGTTTTAAGGTGATGTACTCGAACATAGATGGGATTACAGCAAGGCAAGTGAACTAAAGGAAAGAGCACAAGAAGTGAACCCAGATGTAATCGGACTCACAGAAACAAAACTCTCAGGAATCATAATGAATGTTATGCTACCCCAGGACTACACTGTAATAAGGAATGAGAGGGAGGGAAGGAAGGGGAGGAGGCAGAGTGGCCCTACAAATAAGAAAGGAATGGAGTTTCAAGGAGATGGTTATCCTGGGCTGCAAGGGATTCAGAGACTACATAGCAGGCACCAAGATGATGGGAGGACCATGAATAGTAGTAGCAGTGATATATAACCCTCCACCAAATGACAGAAGATCTGTACAAGAGTATGACAACAACAACATGGCAGTTAACACTATAATTGAGAGGGCAGCCCCTGTTGCTTGTAGAAATAGATCTGCTCATCGTACAGGACTTCAATCAGGGAAGGATCGACTGGGAGAACGAGGAACTGCATGGAGGTGAGGATACATGGAGAGCTAAACTATTGGAGGTAGAGACAAGAAACTTCTTAAGCCAGCATGTCAGGGAACCTCTGGCATTCCGAAAAGGGAAGGCTGGCATTCCGAAAGGGAAACTATGAGGAGATAAGAAAATTCCTAACAGATATAACATGGGAAACAGAGTTCAGGGGAAACACGGCCCAAGACATGATGGATTACATCACGCAGAAGTGTAAGGAGGCAGCAGACAAGTTTGTCCCGGTCCAAAAGGAAAACAACGAAATGCAGATGAGAAACCCATGGTTTAACCAGAGATGTAGGCTAGCTTAGCGGCAAAGTAAAAAGGCGTGGAGAAACTATAGAAATAACAGGACTCTTGAGAGCAGAGAAATACCAGAGCGCTAGAAATGATTGTCAGGTTGAGAAGAGAGGCAGAAGGGTAATACGAAAATGACATCGCAAGCATGGCAAAGACTCGACCTAAATTGCTGCACAGTCACATCAGGAGAAAAACAACAGTAAAGGAACAGGTAATGACATTGAGGATAGGGGCAGACAGATTCACTACAAACGACAAGGAAGTGTGCGAGGAACTGAATAAGAAATTCCAGGTTTTCATCTTAGAGCAATGAGTTCCAGAGATAATAGAGGGAATAGAACAAATCCACAAGGGCCGTGGAGTTGTGTAGAGGGAATAGTTAATCAGGCACCACTAGAAGAATTTGAGATTACCAGTGGGGATGTAAGAAAGCTTTTGCTAGAGTTGGATGTGACAAAGGCTATAGGCCCAGATGGAATCTCCCCTTGGATACTGAAGGAAAGAGAGTTTAAGCACTGTGCCTACCACTCTCCATAGTGTATAACAAATCACTGGCAACAGGGAAACTGCCAAAAATTTGGAAGACGGCTAATGTAGTCCCGATATACAAGCAGGGGGATAGACAAGAGGCACTGAAATACAGGCCAGTGTTCCTAACCTGCATACCATGCAAGCTGATGGAGAAGATTATGCGAAAAAAGCTAGTGGAACATCTGGAGTGGAAGAACTTCGTAACACAGCATCAACATGGGTTCAGGGATGGCAAGTCCTGCCTAACAGGATTAACTGAGTTCTACGACCAGGCAACAAAACTCAGGCAAGAAAGAAAGGGGTGAGCAGACTGCATATTTTTGGATTGCCAGAAAGCCTTTGACACAGTACCACACACGAGGCTAGAGCAAAAGCTGGAGATGCAGGCTGGAGTGAAATGGAAGGTACTCCATTGGATAAGAGAGTACCTAAGCAATAGAAGACAGCGAGTCACTGTGAGAGGTGAAGTCTCAGATTGGCGAGACGTTACCAGTGGAGTCCCGCAGGGGTCAGTCCTTGGACCTATACTGTTTCTGATATATGTAAATGATCTCCCAGAGGGTATAGAATCGTTCCTCTCATTGTTTGCTGATGATGCAAAAATTATGAGGAGGATTAAAACAGAGGAAGACAGTATGAGGCTACAAGAAGACCTAGACAGACTGAATGAATGGTCCAACAAATAGCTATTAAAGTTCAACCCGAGTAAATGTAAGTAATGAAACTAGGCGGTGGAAACAGGCCAGACACAGGATACAGAATAGGAGATGAAGTACTTCATGAAACGGACAGAGAGAAAGATCTAGGACTTGATATCACACCAAACCTGTCTCCTGAAGCCCACATAAACAGAATTACATCTGCGGCATATGCGAGACTGGCTAACATCAGAACAGCCTTCAGGAACCTGTGTAAGGAATAATTCAGAACCTTGTATACCACATATGTAAGACCAATCCTGGAGTATGCGGCCCCAGCATAGAGCCCGTACCTTGTCAAGCACAAGACGAAGCTGGAAAAAGTTCAGAGGTATGCCACTAGACTAGTTCCAGAACTAAGAGGCACGAGTTACGAGGAAAGGCTGCGTGAAGTGCACCTCACGACACTGGAAAACAGAAAAGTAAGGGGAGACATGATCACTACCTACAAAATTATCAGAAGTGCACCTCACGACACTGGAAGACAGAAAAGTAAGGGGAGACATGATCACTACCTACAAAATTATCAGAGGACATGTTTAACACTGGTGGTACGCGAACAAGGGGACACAGGTGGAGACTGAGTACCCAAATGAGCCACAGGGACGTCATAAAGAACTTTTTCAGTGTTAGAGTAGTTAACAGGTGGAATGCATTAGGCAGTGATGTGGTGGAGGCTGACTCCATACACAGTTTCAAATGTAGATATGATAGAGCCCAATAGGCTCAGGAATCTGTACACCTGTTGATTGACGGTTGAAAGGCGGGACCAAAGAGCCAGAGCTCAACCCCTGCAAGCACAACTAGGTGAGTACACACACACACACACACACACACGGGGGCCTCAGCCACACCTCAGCCTGGTGGATAGCACAGGACTCGTACACACTGTGGCGCGGGTTCGATTCAACCGATGGCAGGCAGGACCAAGAGTCAAAGCTCGGCAAACACAAGGTGAGTTCTAGGTGAGTACACCCTACCCCATAGATTACAGCACACACCTGGGAGTTACAGCTAGTCACGGGAGATGGGTGAGCTTCCTGGCTGTGTGTGTGTGTGTGGTGATCTAAGACAGTGGTGAGTGTGGACGTACACAGAACAGGAAGGTTAGGGTGAGTAGGACACAGGTAAGTTGAGTAGGAACAGTTGATAGGGTGACACAGGTGAGAGGACGGGCCGAAAGAGCAAAGCTCAGGGTGACCCCCGCAAAAACACAACTAGGGTGAAGGACACAACTAGTAAACACACACACACACACAAATGGGACAGGAGTCATTGCTGTAAACAACCGATGTCTGGAAAGGCGGGATCCAAAAGTCAATGCTCGATCCTGCAAGCACAAATAGGTGAGTACACACATACACAGGTGAGATGAGCCATTGATAAGCTAGGACATAGGTGAGCTAGGACACAGGAGAGCTAGGATGAGCTAGAACACAGTTGAGATAGGGTGAGCTAGGACACAGGTGAGCTAGGACACAGGTGAGCTAGGACACAGGTGAGCTAGGACACAGGTGAGCTAGGACACAGGTGAGCTAGGACACAGGTGAGCTAGGGTGAGCTAGGACACAGGTGAGCTAGGGGTGAGCTAGGACACAGGTGAGCTAGGGTGAGCTAGGACACAGGTGAGCTAGGGTGAGCTAGGACACAGGTGAGCTAGGGTGAGCTAGGACACAGGTGAGCTAGGA